GCAGATATATATATACACATACAGAGAAGGTGGAAGTTGCCATACAAAGTGTAAGAGGCTAATTAATTAAGAAGAGCTATTAGCAGGAGAAAAAAAAACTTTTGTCGTGATAATCAAGATGGCCCATTTAGACAGTTGACAAGAAGGTGCGACGATACTTAACATAGGGAAATAGAAAAGTTCAGCTCATTTTTCATGCCAGAAGACAATATTCCTAGGGAACAGGCCAGAATAGCTTCCTCAGCCACATTGCCCAGCTGCACAGAGGGTCCACAGTCCACACCTATGCTCAAACAATATAACGGGGGGTTTTCTGAGTCAACTCAAATCTCCTTATGCCCTACAAACCCATCATAATGGCCACCCTAATGAGAGTCCTGAGAACAACATACTGTACAGCCAGCACGGGGTAGGCACAGCCTTGTAGAGGCAGAACAAGAAGGTGCCTGCAAATCCCAAGATTCCCCGGGACAGCATGAAAAGACAGCAGTTACCAGAAAGCTCCGTCCTGCAGCTCCTCCGTGGCCCAGGGACGCCAGCAACCCCGGGATTGGACGTGACCTGCTCAGTACGGGAATAACACAGGCCACAGAAGAGGGAGTGACCTGTTCGGCGCAGCGCAGTTGTGTCCCAGGGGCACAGGAATGCCAGGACTCAGGAGAGAGGACGACCGGGTGAGCACAGCCAGCCTTTAATATTTACTTCTTGGAGCTGCCGCTGAAGTTGCAGTGATGTAATGTGAGCAGCAGCCTCAGAGTCACATGCTTGAGCTTTCCCCAACTCCACCCCCACGGCGTTCCTCCCCCCTCTACCGTCCACATCCTGGCAGCATGGCCCGCTTGACAACACAAACAGAGAACCAGCTCCTCCCACCTAGCCTGCCGCCAGAAAAGCTGGGACCTAGTCGAACTCAGCCAGGGAACAGCAGCAAGAAAACCATTGCAGTTCCTGAGCCCGAGCTCTGGTCACCATATTTAGTTCCCCTGCGAACAGTTGGATCACCATCTCTGGAGATCAGGAGCTCAGCACTGAGCCCACTGCTCTCCTTATTGGCCTCTTCCTCTGAGCTATGGGGATAGTTAGGAAGCAGAGGGCATGCACTGTGTTTCACCTGGAAAATGTTACAGATGTATTTATTTACACATTTGGGGAGTAGTTGATCTCCATTAAAGAGCAATAGCACCAGACACAGTGTGGACTGGCACAGGGAAAGCTTCTGTTCCCACCCAACTCTCTTGATGGACCCCATTCCTGACCATCAGCACCTCCTGCTATTCCAGATGTGCTCCCCACACATCTCTCCTGAACACCTTCAATCCTGGCCAGCAGCCCCCCTGCTATTCCAATCCAGGGCTAGGATTCCCTGCACGTAGCTCTGCCCATCCCCTTTAGTGCTGCCCTGCAGCTCTCCCCCTCCCCCCCTTGGCTATTCCAGGCTTGGCCTGGCCTGGCCTGCTGCTTCCTCAGTACACCAAGTAACAGGAACACAAAGAAATGTGATTTACTCACTTCTTGCTTCACCTTCATTCTTTGTCTCCAAGATTATCCTTTCCCTGACCTACTATAAGTCTATTGTGTCTCTCCCTTTCATTATGTTCTGTCCCGTTCCTCTGCTGGGCTCTCCTCAGCTCTCTTCCCCTTCCTCACCTGGGTCTCTCATGTTCTCCCCATCCCTGAAATGAATGAGGAGAAAAATTGATGAGCCAACCCTGTAGCAGGTAATGCAGGAAGCAGAAGAGGCCTCCTATCAGTTTACCTTCAAATGGATTTATTTTAAAAAAAGTTCAGATGAAAGTGGATCTCAGAGTTTGGCCAAATCCCGAATCAATTGGTCCTTAGTCTAAAAATATCTGCTGCCCTCAGAGTCCTTTTTAGACCAAGGAAGGAGAAGGAAGGAGGAAATGGGGCTGTAAGTTTAGAAACAGTCTGTAGGAAGATCTGATTAGTTAGAATAAAAGTGCTGGACACCTGTAGCCACTGCCATCACCTGAACTCCAAAGAAACAACAGCTCCTTTCTGATGGCATCAACAAAATCACCCTCCTGGCAAGCAGAGCATATCGCCAAGGCCTTGTCAATACAAGAAAGTTGCACAGGATTAAATGAATTTTAATTTTAGTTAAACTGGTACTACCCCTTGTGTGGACACTTATCTCAGTCTAAGAGTAGCTTATTTCAGTTTAGTTTAACCAATTACTAATTGTCTTGAACCTAAATGAAATAAGCCAGGTTTAAACCAAAATAACAGCCTTTTGCACCAGTTTGATGAAATTGGTTTAACAAAAATCACTCCTTAAACTAGACTGATACAACTTGCTCAGACACACAAGTTTCAGAGTCATATTAACCAGAAATGGAAAGATCCCCTTAGGGGGACACAGTCCATTCTCCGCACCTTCCAAGACTAGGGTGGGATTGCTCACTAGTATATTATGGAGAGGCAGCAGCCTCTCCATAGTTCAGGCTACAATCAGTCCTGTTTTAGACAATCTATAATTTTAACGTGGAAAGTTGGTTTGGCTGGAAAATTGCTTGCTTCACCCAGAAGCCAAAGCAAATGCAAACAAACTGCATTTGAGTTACAGGTCGGTTTAAAAACAAAAAAACAAAACAAAAAAAACCCCCCAGATTTTAAATGTAGACTTTTGTCTAATGTTTCCTTGAATCCCAATATTGATCAATACAAATCACATCACAGTATAAATACTATTTTTCCACCAGTAATCAAAAACATATCTGACAAAGAAACATAAAAAGTATATGTACACAGCAACAACATAGAGGTCTTGTCTGCAAAGAATTTTTAAGCAACTTTCCCACCATTGGCCTAGCACTAGTGAAATTAACAATACTAATATACAGATATCTACAGTACAATATTCCATATTAAAAACCTGCAGTAAAAATATTAACATTTTTTGACTAAACACTCTTCTTATGTGGCACCTCCATGACTGGAGGTTTGCAACCATGGTAACCCATTCTGTACAGTTCTCTACTAATCTCTTTGTGGATGAATAGTCCTTTTGATCCACCCATGATACCACATCATCCATCCACAATCTTCTTTTTCTGCCTTGTGTTCTTTTGCCATCAACTTTCCTTTCCAGTGCCTTTAAACATATCACCCACTGAGCTTCTTAAAATGTGCTGTGCAAATCAAATCTATCTTTTCATAAGATCTCTAACTAGCAATTGTTGAGTTCTAATACTTTTTCATTGGTTTTAGCATTTAACCCAGGGTATTTTCAGAATTCTTCTATAACCCCATATCTGGGGGAACTGAAGCTTCTTTATTATCCATGTTTGCAGTCAGGTCTCAGCGCATGTTTATTGAGAACTCTAACAGCTTAATTGAAGAGGCTGAGATTCTGACTCTTGTATAACATTCTGTCTTCAAATTTTTTCTTAGTAATTGAAATGGTTATTATCAACAACATTTGTAAACATGTGATTATAAATCCCTTCATCTTTCAGTTACTCAGCTTTCACTCTTTTGGCTGTTGCAATGCCATAATTTTACAAGTTCTCTAGCCAGTAAAGTATTCCAAGCTACACGAGAACAGACATTTTAATGTTAAAACAAGCAACTTTTTTTAATCCAGTCCTTCTTTATAAATAATAACAAAGCGCACAATCCCAATTTTTTTTGAGTCACCTTTAGTAAGATTTAGAATTTTCTAGGTTTCTAGGAAATCTGTACGAGCTCAGCAAAAAAACAAAAAAAAAAGTTTACTACACATGCTCAGTATAGTAAATCTAAATCAGTTTTCTGACACTGGTTGCTCCACTGTGAGGGTTCTGCCATGTCAAATTTTAACTTATTAAAGAACTGTTAAAAAGTTACAAAAACAACAAGGAGTCCGGTGGCATCTTAAAGACTAACAGATTTATTTGGGCATAAGCTTTCGTGGGTAAAAAACCCACTTCTTCAGATGCATGGAGTGAAAATTACAGATACAGAAATAAATATATACTGGCACATGAAGAGAAGGGAGTTACATGACAAGTGGAGAACCAATGTTGAAGGCCAATTTAGTCAGGGTGGATGTAGTCCACTCCCAATAATTGATGAGGAGGTGTCAATACCAAGAGAAGGAAAATTGCTTTTGTAGTGAGCCAGCCACTCCCAGTCCCTATTCAAGCCAAATTGATGGTAAATAAATCTGTTAGTCTTTAAGGTGTCATCGGACTCCTCATTGTTTTTGTGGATACAGACTAACACAGCTACCCTCAGATACTTGTTAAAAAGTCAATTTTTTTAAATAATGGGAAATATATATTTTCTCACATGCACACATACTCTCTTGTTCTCAAAAACAACTGAATCATTTTTTGCTCAAATTTTCAAACAGAGACCATCCCTGGGACTTTTAAGCCAAATTGATGAATGCTTCAACAAGCTATGCACAAAGAATGGAATAGGGGATTGTCAGGCAACCTTCACCATAGACATCACTACAAATTCCATGTTACTCGAGTCAGTCCGATACACGCCTTAAATTCCTGCTTCCACTCTTGGAGCTAGGAGCATGTGGGATGCTAGCTCTCTAGGCTCAACGGACTGTAGTTTATTTGGCTGGAGTTCAGCCAGTAGTAGCTGCATTTTGTCCACTGGACTGGGGTAGCCATCAGAACTATCAGGCTGGTCTAGGATCCAATGCACAGCACATGCATGCTGGAAGCCTGGCACGCTTTTTAGACCTATTCTCTAGCTCAGTGAGCTTCTAGAGAGGTGGGGACAAGACCTTGGCACTGGCATGTGCACCAAGTCAGTTAATCACATGCCAACCCCGTCCATGCCAGTCCCAATGGACATTGGCTCCGGGGTGCATGCACACAACCTAACGACCAAGAGGAAGACAGTGGCGGCCTGGAATGGGCGACAGCCCCTGCCCTGACCAACAGACAAAAACACCCTCCCCCATCCCATGGCGCTTCTCCAACTCACTTCCGGTGTGCTGTTCCTTTTTCCCTTTACTGTCCCATTTCTATAGTGCTTCCGCCTCTACCAAGATGGCGGATCCCTCTTTCCTGTGTGGCGGAATGTGCACCGGGGCGGCTCCTGCGGCCGGCAACGCCGGGGTTCCGGGTGTCGGGCCGGACCGGGCTCAGGCCAGGCTCAGCAGCAGTGTCAGTGATAGGGTGGGGAGAGCGATGGCGGCTCCTCTCGCGCTGCTGCTGGGCATCAGCCTCGCGCTGGCACCGCCCCTGGCTCAAGCCCGGAGCCTGCGTTTCGTTACCCTGGTGAGGGGCGACAGCCGGGGAGCGCGGCCCAGATTGGGACCGCAGAGCCAGACCGCGCCCCGGGCGGGGCCGCTGGGCCGAGGTGGGGAGGCCGGGGGGCGCGGCGATGGGGGAGACGGGGTGGGGCGGGGGGCGCCGCTGGGCAGAGGGGGGCGGCCGGGGGGCGCGGCGATGGGGGAGACGGGGTGGGGCGGGGGGCGCCGCTGGGCAGAGGGGGCGGCCGGGGTAGCGGATTTGGGGCGCTAGGCAATTCGAAGGTGCTTCCTCTTTCAGCTGTACCGCCACGGGGACCGCTCCCCAGTGAGGGCCTATCCTCGGGACCCCCATCAGGAGAGCGCGTGGCCCCAGGGATTTGGGCAGCTCACCCAGGTGGGTACCCCGGGGAACAGTGTTACATTTGGAGTTGTACCTCAGAAGGTGTCTGCTTTCTCTCCCGCAAGGAAGGGGATTTCTGCCATTTCCTAATAGTGGGTGGGAAGTGCCAGGGAACCCACCCTTTCCCCTTTGGAAGCCATTTTATGTGGCCTTTGACATCGGAGGTCTTTGCTGGGATTGGCCCAGGATAGCGGCAAATCCTGTTTTTGATGCGTGCAGGTTGGGATGCTGCAACAATGGGATCTGGGCCAGTCACTCCGGAAGCGTTACCATGGATTCCTGAACGCCTCATACAATAGGCAGGAGGTCAGTGCAACCTACCCCACTACCATTGGTCATCACCCCCTGTCCCTCTCCTGGGGTCACTTTATCTTCCTGTAAGGTGCAGCCTGGTGCTCAGGGTACCTGCACTGTCTTCAAGGCCCCTTATGCCCCTTATTGTTTCCCTTTGTCATGTTCATGATGCTGTGCCTTCACATAGTAGGATACAATATGACTATATTAAATAGCATCTTCTGTAGAAACTGTCTCTGAAATCACCTGGGTTACTGTGAATACCAAAGGAGTGCAGTCCCGTAAGAGTGTAGGGAGGGCAAGAAGGAATGATGGTTACATCTGGGGGTGGCAAGATACTATGCAAGAGGAGGCCTGAAGCCACTGCCACCTAAACAAAGGGAAGTAGAAAGGGTAATAAAGAGACCTACAAAAGCACCCGTGACATCAGCTGGAATTTATCTGATTCCCTCCCTCTCTTGGGAAGGCATCACAGAGAGTGAGCTGCAGCCGGGTGTATCTCTTTCATGCCCTTCTTTTGAGAAGTTGAATCAGGAGGCCTCGGCAAGTTGTCTTATCTGATCAACAAGCAGTGGAACTCAGGCTCCAAAGGAAATTAACTCAGCCAAATAAATAAATAAATGCAGTTCCTCTGTCCAGCAGCCTTACTGCTTTTTGGTTCCCCACTCTAACACTACCATGCTTTTGCAGTAGAGCAGAGTGTTGGAGAACAAATATTCATGCACGATTTTCTAGAACCTTGGGTTACGAAGATGGTGCATCTGTCATCCTTAGCAGATTTTGCTTGGGTCTTCAAACATACCAACACCCCTCAGAAATTGTCAGTCAAAGTAAAGGTCTTTAGGAAGCAACTAAAGATCTAGTTTCCTTGGGAAGCATCCTGTTGCAACCTAGTTGAGTAAGACTATGTCTGCTTTCTGGTTCTCTTCCATCATTGTTTCCTGCACTGTGGCAGAGACACCTGCCCTACTCTCAGCCCTTTATACTTTGTGGTAGATATCCCAGTCTTAAAGGGCTAGTAGGATTGAAGAAAAAGCTACTATTAGTATGCATAAACTCTCCCCATGAAATACCAGGACAAATTCAACCCAGGGATAAGCAGAAGCAACATCATTATCTGAAAGTTAGACACCTACTCTGAAATTGGTCCATGAATCTCAGTTGGAATATGGCACTGGGTACCACTGTCCCTGTATCAAGGAATGAAAGACTTGAGCCTATGGAAATTAAAGTAACAGTTTTAGCTGGTAGCTGATCCTCTCCATAGGACAGGGATGCAGCCTGTGTTTGCCTTGCCCAGTCCCAGGCAAGGCCAGTGACCAGCTCCAGGCACCATCTAATAAGTTTACACATACACACCATAATCTCTACCCAAACTATTCTTTTATTTCTGTCAATAAAGCATTAAGGGTCTTGTCCCAAAGTACCTGATTCTGTTTTCTTTGCAAGTTTGATGGTGCTACAGAAGTCTTTGCCCTAGTTTTTGAAAACTGGGTGGTTCTGATTAGCCATTTGGGAAGTTCACTTGTTCAAAGTATGGAGGCTTTCAGGAAGCATATACTATACATAGAGGTGACATTTGGGGTTTCTAAAGGAGGGGTGTGGGAAGTCCCCCAAAATACTTATTATTGTTCTTCTGACAGATTTGAGTCAGATGGAGCAGGAAGAAGAGTTTCAAGATGGAGGGAGTATTATCTTAGTATTATCAATTATCCTGTGTCCTATTGCTGATACAGACCCACAGCTGTGTCAGGCCTTTTAATATTAATGTGGTAGTGGATTGCCATCTGACTTCTTCTGGTCAAGTATCTGCTGCCTCATTTCCCCTTTTGGGGCTCTCCAATAAATGCAGAATCATGTGGTTCAAGTAACACTCCCTTCTTCTGGTCTAGCTTATTAACAATAGTTAACAGTTCAGTGTCAACTCAAATACAAATCTTCCAGCTCTCCTCGCAAGCTTTGAGGTTCCTTCCCACATTTCTCTCTCTCTCAAAGCTTTTCCCAGCTGAGGCTGCTGCTTCTCCTTTTTCCTGCAGCTGTCTGCCACCTGGCTAATGCCAAGAGCACCCTCCTACTTCCTGATCCTGGTATCCTCTGATCAAGCTCCCTCTTATAGGAAGCATCAGCTCCGGGTTGCTGTTGTGTGACTGTTGGTCATCACTTGATTCAGCCACAGGCTAGAGTCTTATAAAAGGGTGCTGGGACATGAGCATATGCCCAAAGATAAGCAACCTGAGACAGTACTGTAGATTGCTCTTTCTTTATCCCATGTTAAGATCCTGCTTAGGTGTTTCTTTAGAGCATACCTTGGAGTTCTTTCATCCTAGCTAATGGGGAAAGGTCTCTCTCTACCCATACCTCATGTCAGATGGGTGGAAATATTCAGAGTAAAGGCAGTGAGTAAATCTTGTGTTTTCCAAGAATAAGTTTTGAGGATATCGTTTGTATGCAAGATGCTCTATAAAGCAAAACTATATCACCATTCACAAGACTCTTATTTTATCTGCTTCTTCTCTGATGTCCTGACTGCCCGGATATTTATCCCTTCATTCATAACCATTCATCTCATCTACTCCACCTATCACTGAAGCCTGCCCCACATACCTCTCTCCCCCCTCCAGTTGCCTCAGTACACAAATGTCAAGGTATCAAACTTTCACTACTTTGACCCTCCTTGAATCTCTGCAATTGCTCTTGCTCTTCTTCTGTATTGTCAAGTTTTCCTCCTGCCGATGATAATGATCTTCTGCCCCCTTCCCTCCGAGGACCAAAAAGTGCTTCATAGACATTAATAAATGAAACCTCTGCCACATCCACTAGCCATGTCACTATTGTCATCATTTCGCAGATGAAAAAACAGGCCAGAGAGGGGCAGATTCTTGTCACAGGTTGCATAGCAAGTCAATGGCAGATCTGAGGACTGAACCAAGGAGTCCTACCTTCATTCCTGTGATATAACTACACTATATTTTCTCTTTTTACCTACCCCCATCTATATCTCTGGCCTTGTCTCCTACCTACTTGCTACTTATATTATTCTGCCTGAGCTACTCCTTCACTTGTATTCTATCTCCCATCTCCATGATGTATTCCATAGTGCCCCATATGCCTTAATAGCCTGCCCTTTTATATGCACTTCCTCTTTCCCCATCATGGTTTGTGAACTGCTTAAGCTGTAATGGCCTCAGCACACTCCATGTACTCTCTGGCATGCCTAAAACTTTTTGTCTTTGTGGTGCCTGTATTCTGAGTCCCTTGGTCAGAGTCCAGGTATCCCCACTCCTGTGTACAATAGTGATATTCACAGAACAGGCTCTCTGTGCCCCTGGCAGATTTTCATTCGCAGCACAGATTACGACCGGACACTGATGAGTGCAGAGGCCAATCTGGCAGGACTGTATCCCCCACAAGGACAACAGGTGTTCAACCCCAATGTTTCCTGGCAGCCAATCCCTGTACACTCTGTGCCTGACTCTGGGGAGAAGGTGAGTCATTCTCAAGGATAAATATTGGCAGCTCAGGCATGGTGTTCACCTTGTCGCCAAGAGCCTCCCCCTCCAGTCCTGAGCTTACCCATTATCGCTCCTTAGCCTGGCCTTGCAGGGGATCCCCCTACTTCTAGACCCACAATTCTCCTCATGTCCCTTGTTGATTTAGTTGTTAGATGCAGAGTCTCACCGGAAGGGAGACCCTTCCTCGGAGGGAGCTATTTAGACCCTGTTTCATCAGGACTGGGAGGTGGCTGTGGTGGGGAGGCAGTACAGTCGCTGCTGCTTGTCAGGATCTTCCCTGACCCAGCGTCTCCTTTTGTCTCTGCCCAGCTGCTGAAGTTTCCATTATCCCCTTGCCCGCGGTATGAGCAGCTACAGAATGAAACCCGGCAATCAGCAGAGTACATAAATAAAACCAGACAGAATTTGGTAAGTGAGAGTTTGTGTGAGAAAAGGTCTCCCTGAGCAGGAAGAAGATACCTTTATATGATTCTAGGTGTCAGGGAGGGGTGAAAGATCTCCGCTTTGCAGAGTTGTGTGGTGGAAGAGCAGAAGGTTTGAGTCTCTGCCTTGTTGCCTGCAGGGGTTCCTGGAGATGGTGGCAAATCAGACAGGGATCCAGGATGTGTCCCTGGAGTCTGTCTGGAGCATCTACGACACCCTTTTTTGTGAGGTAAGTTAATCTGGGAATCCCCACACAACAGCAGGGACCTGGGTCTTTGGCTCAGCAGAGTGGAATTAGGGATTCACTAGACTGGAGACAATTGCATTGGTGAGAAATGGATTTGCCTGTTGTACAGCAATCTTCCACTTCTCCCTCCACATAGTTAGCCCTAATCTTCAGATTTCGGAATAATAACTCTTCCCCCACTCCAGAGGCACAATTTAGGAAATCTATCCCCTCCAGCACCATAGATCCTCTAGCTGCATGTTTCAGATGTCATGCTAGAACTGAAACTTAATTCTCCTGTGGCATTCTATCTCCTGAGAAAGGGGTGGTTGTCCCAAAATCTTTACTATTCTTTGGTTTTAATTAGTTAAATCCGGAGTGAGATTTTTTTCAAGATGGAGGGAATGTTAATCTAGTTATTTGAGGAAGGAAGAGCGAGTCAAGACTCCAGGATACTATTACTGACGCTCCCCTAGCTCACAGTTAATTTGAGCCAGTCACTTTCCTGCTTGGTGCCTCAGTTTCCCTATCTATAAAAGGGAATAATACATTCCTACAATCTAGAGAACTGTTAGGTTTTATTCCTTATTGTTTGTAAAATGTATTGAGCTCCTCTGACACAGGAAGGCCCTAAAGAAGAGCAAAGTGGTGTCATTTTAGTAATTCCCAAACAAAAACTACATTAAAATGGAGTTAAGGCTGAAAGCACATATCAGTAATATAGAGTAAACATCAATGTTCCCTCTAATTTTTTCCATCCATGTGCGGATTGAATTTTGGTATGTGTACCAATATCGAGATAATGTGCAGATATGCACCACCAGTACAAACAAAAAACGTAGATATATGTTTTTTAAAAGTTCATAGATATGGAAGAAAGAATATTAAAACAAGGGATAATTAACAAGATGCACTGCTAGGGCTGCAGAGAGGCGGCTGCTGGGGAAAGTCACGTCTCTCCCCGGCTGCCGCACACAGCCCAGCTGGGGCTGGGAGTCCTGGGATACCCCAAACTTGGTTTCCCCACCCCCACCTGACCCCTGCCCACCTCACCTTCCACATCCTCTCTCGAGAGTCCAGGAGGCACCTAATTAGTGGAGCCACGTCTGCGCAGCTCCACTAATTAGGTGCACGGTCCTTCATTCCCTTGTGTGCAGCCACACAGGCCTGCACCTTAGAGGGAACTGTGGTAAACATTATAGTCATGTTGTAATTATCCCAAGACAGGTTTCAGAGGAACAGCCGTGTTAGTCTGTATTCGCAAAAAGAAAAGGAGTACTTGTGGCACCTTAGAGACTAACCAATTTATTTGAGCATGAGCTTTCGTGAGCTACAGCTCACTAAGTGAGCTGTAGCTCACGAAAGCTCATGCTCAAATAAATTGGTTAGTCTCTAAGGTGCCACAAGTACTCCTTTTCTTTTTATCCCAAGACAAGCATTACAAACCCAAGAAATTTAGAATTGAGGTAAAATGAAATCCAAACAGTTAGAACACTCCATAACCTTAACTCTGCACTGTAGTGACACCTTGCAGTAACAATACAATTACAATTCATGCCTTTTTTTAAATCCCAAATGAGATTAAACTGATTTTTAAGACAGAATTTTTTTTTCTTCATAATATCACTACAGGGCAGTTATTTTCTTGGCCATATTTGCTAAGGGCAGTCTGTGGTCTGAGTCCCATTGAACCAAATGGGAGATGGGAGCCATTTTGAAAGAGGGCAATTCTTTGTTTCGCTGAAGAACATTCTCCAGCCTCTTCTGAAAGTGAAACTTCCAGTTTTGAAGAATAACAGGAAAAGTGATTATTAATTCTAAACATTTCTTTTCCAAACCTACTCCTTGCACTAGGTCTATGGGGGGGGAGGGATAGCTCAGTGGTTTGAACATTGGTCTGCTAAACCCAGGGTTATGAGTTCAATCCTTGAGGGGGCCATTTGGGATCTGGGGCAAAAATTGGGGATTGGTCCTGCTTTGAGCAGGAGGTTGGACTAGATGACCTCCTGAGGTCCCTTTCAACCCTGATATTCTATGATTTTATTCCAAATTCAGATCTTTGCCAATTTTTGTGTAGATGGACGATGCCTGAACTGAGATCATTGGGGACAAAAACGGTCTGACATAGAATTACATTTCTTAGGACTCATTTTTTAAATTACTTTTAAACCGTAAACTAATAGATTACTTTCAAATGTTCAGAAAATCCATTTAGAACTAGAGTATGGCCTCGTTTACACACAGACTTGTCCTGGGTTTAACCAAATACTTGAGTATTCATCCAGTGCAAGTTTGTGTAGACAAGGCCTGGGAGCTCTAATTTTGGGGAGGATATCCTCTATTTTTCACACATACAAAGTTGTCTAGTCTCTGCTTTGAGAGCAAAACTCAGCTCTGTTAAGTATGGAGCCATGATTGACACCACCATAATGTAAGTAGAATCAGTGCTTGAATACTGCTCGTTAAAGTTAAAACCTTCCTAAGGGTTTGTCTACACAGGAAAATTATTCCAGAATAAGGTGAGGTATGAATTTAAAGTGGAATAGCTATTCCAGAATAACTCCTTGTGTAGACACCTTTAATCCAGAAAGTGGATTAAGTTTATGTAGAAAAAGGTACTCTTACTCCAGAATGAGAATGCCAGCACATAGATTTATTCAGAAATAGCTATTCCAGAATAACTATTCTTGAATAACTCCATGTGTAGAGAAGCCCTTAGACTTCAAAATCCCTGGGGGTCCAAATACTGTAATTACTAAAAATGTCATTCTAAACCTTCCCTTGCCAGCACAGTAATTGATTTTGTGACTGGGCTGAATTTCACCCTTGTTCATTAACTAGAAGGGTCTGCCCCTCCCAGACTCAAATATGTTTGCAGAGATTCCTTCTGGAAAGTTTGTTGCATTTCTTTGGCTTATGCCATCCCGTTTTTCCTTTGGGCATGGCATCTGAAAAGCCCTGTAGACGCTGGTAGTGGGAGGAACAAGCACTGCCTGATTTCCAAATACTTTCTTAGCATCACAGAATCCACTATCTTTCCTTGTAGGAATCTTGATTTAGTCAGCAGATCCTGCTAGTGAAATAGAAACTCCCCTGGAAGAAAGATCAGGGAGTCCCTTTCCCATTCCCCCTCTTGGTCCTGCTCAAAGTCCTTGTGTAGCAGGGTCCAAGGCCCTGTTCATTAACTGTCTGCTTAGACTTCTCACAGACTTACAGGGCTGAGAACTCAAAGAACAGCTCATTGGTTAGCACAGGGATCTCAAATTCGAATCACCAGGAGGGCTACATGATGACTAGTACATTGGCCCAAGGGCCGCATCACTGACACCCCCACTACCCCGCCTCTTCCCACCCCTTCCCCAAATCCCCGCCCCTGCCCTGCCTCTTCTCCGCCTCCTCCCCTGAGCACACAGCTCCCCGCTCCTCCCCCCTCCCTCCTGGAAAGCGCTAAGCGCTGCCAAATAGCTGTTTGGCAGCGGGAAGCACCTGGAGGTAGGTAGAGGAGTGGGGACATGGCGTGCTGGGGGGAGGGGAGCTTGGTGGCCTACAGGAAATAACTCCGGGGCAGCAGGGCGCAGGGAGCTTGGTGGGCCGCAGGAAATAACCCCGTGGGCCACGTGTTTGAGAACCCTGGGTTAGTAGAAGGTGAGTGGGCAGGCTCTGAGAAGGGAGAACTTTATCCCCATGGCACACAGGACAGCGCTGTACCCCAGGAAAGGAAGTTCTGCTTACTCAGAGAAGTGGTGGTGCTCACACCCTTACAAATAATGCTCTGGGGAATAGACCTTGCTGAGTGAAACTGGCATTTCCACTGCTGAGGCAGTAGATTTCCTCCACCAGCTCAAACCAACAAATAACTCCAAGCAAAACCAGAACTTCCTAGTTGTGCTCTTGGTAAATGAATGCAAAACAAACTACCCAGGTTACTGACAGGTGCCTGATCTGAATCATGTAGAATGGCCCAGAGGGTGCTTGTCCTAGTCTCCCATGGAGTCTGATGGGACATGGCCTGAAAGATTGGGCCAAAAGAAATCTGATGAGGTTCAACAAGGACAAGTGCAGAGTCCATGCACCGCTACAGGCTGGGGACCGACTGGCTAAGCAGCAGTTCTGCAGAAAAGGAGTGGACGAGAAGCTGGATATGAGTCAGCAGTGTGCCCTTGTTGCCATAAAGGCGAACAGCATATTGGGCTGCATTAGTAGGAGCACTACCAGCAGATCGAGGGAAGTGATTATTCCCCTCTATTCGGCGCTGGTGAGGCCACACCTGCAGTATTGCGTCCAGTTTTGGTCCCCCCCCCACTACAGAACGGATGTGGACAAATTGGAGAGAGTCCAGCGGAGGGCAACGAAAATGATTAGGGGGCTGGGGCACATGACTTATGAGGAGAGGCTGAGGGAACTAGGGTTATTTAGTCTGCAGAAGAGAAGAATGAGGGGGGATTTGATAGCAGCCTTCAACTACCTGAAGAGGGGTTCCAAAGAGGATGGAGCTAGGCTGTTCTCAGTGGTGGCAGATGACAGAACAAGGAGCAATTGTCTCAAGTTGCAGTGGGGGAGGGCTAGGTTGGATATTAGGAAACACTATTTCACTGGGAGGGTGTGAAGCACTGGAATGGGTTACCTAGGGAGGTGGTGGAATCTCCATCCTTAGAGGTTTTTAAGGCCTAGCTTGACAAAGCCTTGGCTGGAGTGATTTAGTTGGTGTTGGCCCTGCTTTGAGCAGGGGATTGGACTAGATGACCTCCTGAGGTCTCTTCCAACCCTAATATTCTATGATTCTGTGCCCCAAAAGTTGTGACCTTTCTGAGATTATCGCTGCTTTCACTGTAATTCAGCCATTCCTCTGAGTACACTGGCTGTCTGCAAAGCAGACTCCTTTCCTGACTCCCCTTGTTCAGAGCATGGTTATTGAGGTTTCCATCTGAGCTGCATCTCAATAAGACAATTACAGAGTGCTAGTCTTCTGCTCTCTTCCTCAGTGCACAAGTGCCTGTGCTTATGATGACTTCTCCTGTATAGATGTGCTCTGCCTATAGCAATAGCTTTGTCTATTTGTCTAAGCTCAAAAGAGCTTCTTCCTGCTCTTTTGTCTTATGTTTTGATTTCTGGCTGTGTGGTCTCAGTGCGGCAGAATCATCTTCACACAAAGCGGATGCCCCAGGATTATTGTCTCTGCAATTTGCGCTAACATCACACTCTGGCTGTGTTTTCAGAGAAATGTAGTTCCTAGTTTTTATTCTTACTATTCTTCGTGCTTCTTATGTTGAAATGGCAGAATGTCTTACAAATGTAGTTCTGCAGATGGGGGTGAGAGAGGAGACTGAGCCCAGATGAGGAAGGGAGTCATCCATGGTAACACAGTGAGCCCATGGCAGAATCTGGACTAGATCCCAGGTCTCCTGACTCTGAGCCCTGTGACCTACCCTCTGCCCACACCATCTCCCTTTGAATGAGTTCTCCTTTTTTCTTTTCAGCAAACACATAGGCTGCTACTGCCGCCATGGGTGACCCCGGATGTCATGACTCAGTTGAAGCAACTAAAAGACTTTGGCTTTGAATTCCTGTTTGGGATCCACCAGCAGATGGAGAAAGCTCGTCTGCAGGGTGGTGAGTGGGGAAGGGATGGCATCTCAGGTAAGAGATTCTGTCCTTTGGGATCTGCCCAGCTATTCTCTTTCCGCAGGGGTCCTGCTGGCTCAGATAAGGAAAAACATGACCTCAGCAGCAAATGCGTCTGCACCCCAGCATCTGAAATTACTCGCCTACTCAGCAGTAAGTCTGCATCTGGGAGCTGCCATCCCACCACCTGCCATGGGGTTTGGGCCCTGGTGGGGGCTCTGCCATCCTTCCATCCTCCAGTGCAGTCCCTATATCCAGAATATGTCTCTACCCATTGCAGCATATTCTCTACAGCACCTGGCATCATCCCTTTCTGCATCCAAAGAAGTGAATTCCCAGTCTAAAAATCCAGCATGTGGCTGACTCAGCAAGAGCAGGAGGACAGACTCGGGGTCACTGCCCCTTCTGATAGATGGGTTGTGCTACCCTGATGTGGTGTTTCAGCCAGTGATAGATGATAGAATGATAGATGCAGACAATCATATCCCTCTCTAGCAACCTGCTGAGTTAGACTGTCCAGCATCACTCCCAGAACTGCCGTAGAATGGGATCCCTTGGGGTGTCTCTACACTGCAAAAAAACACCCATGACTGGCCTGGGTCAGCTGACGCAGGCTTGCAGGGCTTGGGCTGTGGAGCTATGAAATTGCAGACATCTAGGTTCTCAGAGCCCCGGCTCCAGCCCAAGCCCAGATGTCTACGCTATAATTTTATAGCCCCATGAGCCCAAGTCAGCTGATGCAGGCCAGCTATGGGTGTTCTATTGTAATGTAGATGTACTTTCAGGGACTTGACCCCTAGACTGACAGAGCTCCCAACTTGCGCGCTCTCTCTCTCCCCCACTCCCTCGGCACAGTCACAAGTTACCTTACCAGGGCCCCTGCTCTGCTTTCTCTGTTCCTCTAGTGCAGCGTTTCTCAAATAGGGGTCTGCAAGCCCTGTGGAAAAACTCCTCCCCATTCTTCCCAGGCATGCCTCCAGCACACTGGGAAACAGACTTACCTGTCCTGGCTCCCCCCGTCACTTCTGGGAGCCCCAGGCATGTCCCTGCAGCCATTGGGGTGGGTACTAGGGGGTCTCCCCACGCTTCCCCCACGCCAAGTGCAGACTCCACAGCTCCCATTGGCTGGGAACTGCAGCCAATGGGAGCTGTGGGGGTGGTATCTGTGGGCAGGGGCAATGTGCGGAGATCCCTTAGCCCCTCTGCCTAGGAGCCGCAGCCAGAGGATGTTCTGGTTGCCCGAGGTAAGCACGGCCCTCTACCCCAGCCCAGAGCCCGCACCCGCTCCTGCACCCAAACCCCCTGCTAGAGTTCACACCTCGCAACCCTTCCCACACCTCAACCGCCTGTCCTAGCCCAGAACCAGAGCCCGCACCCCATCCTGTCCCAGCCTGGTGAAAGTGAGTGAGGGTTGGGGAGAGTGAGCGATGGGGGGGGGGGGGTGGATGGAGTGAGCAGTGGTGGGGCAGGGGCATGGCCCCAGGGAAGGGGTGGTGCAAGGAGGCTTGGGGGGTTCCCAAAAATTTTTAAATCAAAATGGGGGTCCTCGAGTTGCTAAAGTTTGAGAACCCCTGCTCTAGTGAATTCCCATAATCTATTTTCCCTTCTCTGGCATGGTCCTGGGTTTCTTCAATTAGCTGTCTTTTGCCCAGCACAGTCCTTGGTTCCCTGCTGAGCTCTCCTTTTGTGGATGTGGTCCCAAGCATTCTGTCCTTCTCCTGAAGAGTGATTCACATTCTCTCCCTCTTCCTTAGCATGACACAACACTTGTGGCACTGCAGATGGCTCTGAATGTCTACAATGGGAGACAAGCACCATATGCCTCATGTCACATATTTGAGCTGTACCAAGATGATGACAGGTGAGGGCTACAGTAAGGGCATCTGCTGTGGCTTTGCCTCATGGGTTAAACATGTCGGCAGAACTCCAGCCTCAGGGCAGAGCCTTTTGCTCTTGCTCCCAAGGGGAAAACAACAGAAGGAAGATCTTAATACAGAACAATGGGAAAGGGCTAGCTCCCAGAGCTGCATGCTAAGTGGGTGATAGGAAGAGATAGCTACAGGATGGCTGAAGAGGGTGATGGTCCTAGCCAGGAGGAAGATGGGAGAAGGAATATGTAATTTGTAATTACAAGGAATATGTAATTTGTGTCTTTGTTTTGTCCCCAGTAACTTTTCTGTGGAGATGTTTTTCCACAACGAGAGTGGGAGGGAGCCTTTTCCACTGACGCTGCCTGGCTGTGCCCAGCGCTGCCCCTTGCCGGATTTCCTGCAGCTCACTGACCCCATCATTCCCCAGGACTGGGCGCGCGAATGCCAGGTAGCAAGCAATGTTCAGGACACAGGTGAGTGCTGGCTGGGCTGGGCATTAGTGAGAGACAGCGATGATTGAATGTTACCACACTGTATGCTCACTTTCTCCCTTGCAGAACTGATTGTGGCTCTGGCTGTCTGTGGATCCATCCTCTTCCTCCTCATTATCCTCCTCCTGACTGTCGTTTTCCGCATACAGTCCCAGCCACCTGGTTACCGGCATGTTTCCAACGAGGGAGAAGAGCAGCCATGACAATTGCTCTGACCCCTCCCCAGGGAGCAAGAGGAAGCAGTGCTGCTCCTGGGAGTGGTTGGGTTGTCCTTCAGTAACTGAACATTCTTTTTCACAGAAGCTGGACTCTGATGTGACCAGCCTCTGGCTGCTCTTTAGATGAGACATGACATTTGGGGTTGAAATCCCAGGGCATCTGGAGCAGGATGGTCTAACTGCATGGAAGCAGTGGATCGCCCCCTTGAATCCAGTGTACTGTGTGGAATGCCTATTTTTAATACATGACAAAGCTGGGGCTCCCCTTCCACCTGGTGCAGCCAGCTGCTCTTCAGGAATAATCTTTCCCCTTTTAATGGTTGTAATTCTAACACTTATTTTAGCAGCAACAAAGAGAACTGGGAATGTCTCCCAGGAGCTGCCATCACCTGCTCAGTTGGTAATGGCCTTGTTCACTAAGGTCAGAATGATTTGATTTCAGTGTGATTCCCAATCTGCTTTGAGCACTTCGGCTTGGGCCATTGGGCTGATTACAGTGTGAAGGCTAGACCTGGACCAGAGACCGTAACTCACACCCACTGGGTAGGGGCTGAATCCTCATCTGCTTTCCAAGAAGATGGAGCTTCTGGAGATCACTGGCTGGTTACAGATGAGGTTGTGGGGTCCCTTGTCTCTGCTACTTAATTGCTGCTGGCACCAGGTTACTCCCCCTCAATTCTGTTCTGAGAGGAAAAACTGGCCTTAAGTTAGGGTAGGATTGTAAACCTGCCATTGGACCCAGGATTCAGCGCAGGGGTAATTTGGAGAAGTTCCAGGTATCAATGGACTTTGCCACATGGATTATCCCATCTGATACCCAATTCCTGATCCTTCAGTGGTATCATGCACCTAGGCTGTTGTGCAATGCTGTACAAAGGAAAAAGCACTGTGCCTGCTCCCTGAGCTTTAATTGCATTCATAATCCTAATTTGCAGAGCTACAATCGGTGGGTGTGGTTATGAAATTTTGGATCTCTCTCTAAAGTATCAGCCTTTTGTTTTGACCTCCCCCAGCTGTGAATGCCACAGGCTGCCTGTAGCTACAGCCCTGTACCACACCATTGGTGCAGATGTTGACTGTGGGCCAAACAAATGTGCATGGCAGGCAGAAAATTTTACACTGCAATTAAAGACCACGTAACAGAACTGTTTACTCTAAAACTGGGACAAGTGCCAACCTTGCTAGTTTTTTTCCCCCATCCCCCACATTGGTGTCATTTAAAAAACAAATACTCAGCTTAATAGGTGGGGCGGGGCATGCAAGTGACCTTGCGTCACTATGCACCTGTCAGGGTGAATCACCTGGATCTTCTAGATGAGTTACTAAAGGTGACTCTTTCCTTAGGACCACTGCGTGGAGGTTGCAAGGATCTCCTTGCAGACTACAGCTGGTATTGAGAAAATTAATGGCTAGCAGTCATCATCTTCTGCCCTCCACTTTCTCCACTACTGTTTCTGGTGAAGAGTGAAGTGCAGCAGACACCAGAGGCTCTGGCTCCTCATAGGGTGATGCTGCACATTCACTTCCCAGTTTTAGTTCCTTTTCTGGTCCAGTTCCCTTCCTAGCAGTGGAGGCTACTAGCAGGCTTCCTTTTCTTTCCCTCCACTTCACCATGGGGAATTTTACAGTCTGCTACCAGCATGGGAACTCTAATGCAGCAGAACCAGCCTGCTGCTCTCAGCAACTGCCTCACCTGTTTCTCACTTGGAGATACAACTTAGTTCTCCTGAAGGGCAAAACACAGTCACAAAGAACAAGCAGCTGCTCCTGAGAACAGGACTGGAGGAGAAAGGTGCAAGGAAGTGCCTTCACAGAGGCCTGTGTAGCAGAGGAAGGGGCTATTTTTAAAGGCAGCAGATTTTGCACACATGGAGGAAAGGCTTCTATAGTGATTTAGACTTTGACTGAATGAATTTCTGTAATTCTGTTCCATTACCTCTTGCCTTTTTTTTCATTAAAATCAAATTGAGACTGGGCTCCTGCTACTCCTTCTGCTATGTGGGCTCATAAAGGCCTAGGCCTGTTAGGCTCTGCATTTAATATGGGAGCTATTGCAACATTCACCTTTTCACAAGACAAAAATGGAGCAGGAAAGGTAACAAGAAAAGAGGGAGAAATCCTAATATGCACAACCACACCCAAAGCAGGGGAAGAGCAAAGGTCATTTCCATGTGTTTTATGCTTCTCTTCATATTATTTTTGTCTCCTGCTACCCTGCAAAAAGCAGATACTTCAGTTTGTAAGTGAATTCATCTAATTTCACAAGAGCCCTTTCTAGCAGCAACATTAGCACATATACCCCCCAGCAGTCTGTCAACTCCTGCTGGGGTGGGCTTAAGAGCCCCTCACAACAAGCCATTCATCAAACCCCCTGAGGTGGCCACTCTCCCAAGGAAGAAAGCCTGTTCTGTACAAAACTTTATTAACAGTTGAATATTATAAACACCATGAAATTAACAAAACCTCCCACCAGGGCCAGAGCCCTGGCCCCAGACAGCAGTTTTTGGGGGGGCATATACTCCACCTATGCCCCAGGCAGTGTTGTAAACAAGCTAACTTTCAAACATAAAAACTTGTGGGTTAACAGCAGCCCTGAGATGTAGCTATATGAGAAGGGGTATTTGGAAGACAATCCTCGGGTTCCACTTCGGGAACACCTATTCCCATACTTTGGGGTACAAGACTGAAAACAGGGCTGGCCGGTGCACTGCAGGAGAGAGACTAAAGCTCTGAAGATATAAACTACAGCAGCAGCCCAGCTCAGCCCTGGCTGCTCCCACATTGACCTCATATCCCATGACACAGATAATTAAAGAACAAAAATCACGCATAAGCATAATGCTGCTTTTTGTGGTCCCATTAAATGCATGCCAGCACAGGGCATGCTGACATTCAGGCTCCCATAGTGCTTGATAAAATGTATCAGCCACACAGGAGGAGGAGCTGACAATGACACCACCCTCTAATGGGGAAAGCAGAAAGTACAAGCAGCAACTTACTACCCAGCAAGGAAGGACAAAGCAGAAGGCTGGGTGCCCCTCAGGGTAGATGTCGCCCACTGTGCCAGGACTAGCTTTGTCCAGAATGATCTAGAAAGCCTGGAGGTGTTTGCTCAATCCTCCAGATCCTTCCGCTTCCTGCCCTGTGATTTGGGATCTTTGCCCTTTGTTTTAGTCCCCTCTAGTTCCAGAGCAAGGAACTTGGTTTTGAGTTTGCTTGCCAGTGGGTTTGACTGCTTCTGCAGCCCATGCCTGGACAAGCTCCGGCTTCCACTTCTCTGCTCTGTCATAGCTTTCAAGAGATGCTCCTGTTTCTTGGTCACCATCTCTTCCCGGCTCCAGATCAGAATGTTAAAGCCTGTGAGGAAAAAATTCAACACTCAGAAATTCTGCTGCAGACATAGTTTCTAATGGGGGAATCACTGTCTATACCAATTAAATATAAAATTCAGCCACTGCCCGACAAAAGCAAGTAGTATTTTTCTAGTCACTAAGGATGGTGTAAACCATTTCTTCCTGACATTGCCTCCACATAGTCCTATTGTAGGAATCATGTCCCTATTAGCTGTATGGTCATGGAAACTTTTCGAGCAATAGCCGGCAATTAAGGGGCATGATCAGTTAATTCTCTTGCCCACAACTTCCATGGAAAGAAAAGTTCTACCAAAGATTCTGCATTCAGATCAAATCAGACCCCAATATGGCCAGCTTCCCCAGATCCTAGGGAGCCCAAGAATGGCAGGGCCTCTTTGGATATAAAGTATGTACAAGTGCAGTAACCCAAAAGAAGTCAAACAAAGGCCAGTGAGACCAGCAGTAGAGGGCAAAGGGCAGGAACTTTTTTCATCTCACTTCTTGCAGTATTGCCATACAGCCAATAGATGGCAGCAGCACCGTCTCCTCCTAGGGAGGCTGCTTTCCCTTGAAGCTAATCGCCACACTGCACATTTTAGTGGATGTTTTCAAAACGCTTTACAAACCATGGATTAATCCTGAGGACACTGGGGTTTGGAGATAAGAGGGTAGGGTATTAACCTATTTTACAGAGGATGAAACTCAGCCTCGGTGAGATCAATGTCAGAACTAGGTTTAGAACTCACAAGTACATCACATTCAACATGTGTTTGTCTGGAGAAGCCAGTCTACCCTTTTCTGAGACCAGAACCCCATACTGTCCAACTGCCTCAATAATAAAATAAGGACAGAGAGCCAGAAGCCTACTTACCCATACCAGAGGCCAGTGTATCTCCCATAGGGTTAAACTTATTGAGCTGCAAATGTAAACATATTGACAAACTATCAGCCTCAATGCTTATGTAACATGATCAAACAATTTGGGAACTAGAACATTCCCTAAAGTATACTACAAAAAGGCCCAGAGCTGAACATGGAACTGTTCTGCAAAGGTCAGCTGCCCTTGGCTGGCATGACACTACACCCCCACTGCTAAGAGCTGCAGGTGTCAGGGGGCTGGCCAGCATGGCTTTACAACCCCTCTCTGCTGCATGTTGAAAGTCAGCAGGCTGGATCCTCCTCTCATGTTGGTGTAAATCAGGGGTAGTTACACTGAAGTCAACAGAGTAATCAGTGTAACACTGGTATAAATTTGAGGAGAATCAGGTCCAGTCTTCCTGCTCTGCTCAGTTTCTCCTCAGTCTGATCCTGCTGGGGAGTCAGCCCTGTGGGAGCTCAATGTGCTACTGTGACTGGAATGTCACTTTCTGCTCAGAAGCTGCTGGTGGGTGGGATGGGGGGAGCAGCTGACGTGAGAGCTGGCATCATGCTAAGAGACATTACTTCCTCCCTGGGGCATGACTGTATTTCACAGAGACTCCAATGCACATGGCCAGGAAAGGACCAGCTAACAGATGGAGAAGCAGCAACCCAGGTGACTCCTCACATCCCCAACCCTGGATTCACTCTCAGGAGACTTCCCCTACCAAGAAGCTATTCACACATATTAGTCGTCACAGCCAACCTCTCTGAGGCACTCTTTCCCATGGCCAGTATACAGACTGTTCCCTGCACCGCACCTTGCCAGGATGCCTCCTCCTGGTATGAGTATGAGCCTGTGTTAGGAGATTCTGGGTCTTGTTCCTATTGCATGATCTCCCTGATACTCAAGTCTTGGCTATAGTTAAGGGCACTGTGGCCCTTTCAACTCTAGTGCCCAAGCTCACCGAGATAATGCCAGATGCATTTGGGTCGTGGAGCTGGCACGCCATCTCCCCAGTGTTTCCATCAAATATATCAACAGTTCGCAGCTCATCCACTGTGTATCCTGGGAACTTAGGGTCTGGGTAGCGACCAGCCACAATGAGGTCATAACGAGGGTGCCACGTCGCCTAAACATAAAGCAGATGGATGTGATCAACAACTCCGGAGGAACACAGCTAAAGAGTGATACGAATCAGAAAGCTGTGACTCCAGCAGAGTGAGCTTCCCCACTGCAGTGCCCTATTCTGAAAAGAAATTGTACTAAAGCTTTTTCCAACTTGTTACTGGCATCTGCTGTGAGATCAGACTGCACTTTGCTACCTCACCTTGATAGGTGTGAGGTGCTGGAACTGCCGATGTGGATGTGGGATCAGATGCTGTGGTTTGGTCCAATCTGAAGAGGAATAGACTCGGATCTCACTATGCTGGTCTGTGGTCAGGAGCTTAGCACCATCCGTTGGGCTGAAATAAGCTGGGAAAAGGGCAATAAAGCATACAGAAGATCACAATCCTGCGGCCATAGACAAAGAAGAGCTAAACAACACATACCCCTAATTTGTAAGTGCGTTACAACTTCCTAAATAGTTATTTTAAAAGAGCCACGTGCCCCAAGGAACAAGACTCTGTCCTTCTCTAGCCCCTTTCTTCCCAGGAACTCAAAGTTCTTTACAAATATTAAACTGAAGCTTACAATCCCTGGGTGCCAGGGAAGTATCATCATCCCCATTTTACAGATGGGGGAAAAAAGACAATAAGTGGGAAAGGAACTCACTCAAAGTCACATAGTAAGCCAGTGAAAGAACTGGAAACAGAACACAGCAGTTCTAACTACTATTGCCCTGCTAGACCCCATCCCTCCAATGTTGGGAATAGAACCAAAGGAATCTTGATTCCTAGTCCCTGTTTCTACCAAAGGAACTTCAGCACGAGATGATCAGGAGTATCTGCCCCAACAAATTCCACGCTCTATCCCCAGAAAACTTCAGTGTTTTCACATTAAGCTCTCAAGGGCAGCTCCCCAGGAATTGCAGAGGATTGACGCACTGCGAACAAATACTTTATTAGGAGGACAGTACATTTAAGTTATATTAGAATGGATTCAGAGAAGAGCCATGAGAATATTTAAAGATTAGAAACCATACCTTATAGTGATATACTCAAGGACCTCAATCAGTTTATCTTAAAGAGAAGATTAAACGGTGACTTTATTACAGTCTATAAGTACCTACATGGGGAACAAATATTTGATAATGGGCTCTTCAATCTAGCAGAGAAAGGCATAACCCAATCCAATGGTTGGATGTTGAAGCTAGACAAATTCAGACTGGGAATAAGGCATACATTTTTTTACAGTGAGGATAATTAACTATTGGAACAAGTGACTGAGGGTCATGGTAGATTCTCCATCATTGGCAATTTTTAAATCACAACTGGATGTTTTTTCTAAAAGTTCTGCTCTAGGAACTTCTATGGCCTGTGTTAGACAAGAGGTCAGACTAGATGATCACAGTTGGCCCTTCTGGCCTTGGAATCTATAAGTATCCCTCTGTCATCAGCAATAGTTCAGGATGAATTAGCCAGAAGCCAATGAGAAGGTGTTATGGGTGACACCAACACTTTTGTACAGGAATTTCAGATAAAGTTTATGTCAGTGTTTGAATTTAAAAACTGATCAAACTCAGGCTTGCTCCAGAATGATTTCATCTTTTGATAGACACACACTGAAGGATATGAAAGAAACAGGACTGATACACATTTATGGGAGGGAAAGTGGGGCACAGAAAACCCAAGCGTGATGGACACAGGCACAGGTCACAAAAGACCAAAAGGAACAGACAGAAACACAGAACAGATAGGTAGATTGGTGGGCAGAGAAAGAGAGAGAGAGTCCTACCTCACTGACCTACCAGCATTGACAGGTTTGTCATGAGGCAGCACATGAAGGAAACTTGACTTGTCTTTGATGTTTCTCAGGTCCCAGATTTTGACTGTCTGGTCCACAGAAGCTGTAGCCAGGAGCCAATCACAGCGCGAGTTAAACTCCACATGAGTCACTTTCTTCTTATGTAACTTCAGCTTCCAAATCTGCAGCGGAGGGAAACAGAAGGTGAGATCTGTGCAACAGCTACACAGCAAGCAGGTGCAATACGTGCCCCATAAAGAACTTTCCAGCACTGCTCTGGTACAGACAGCCTGTGGGATTTAGGCCGTGGAGCTCTGAGCACTCCTTAACTTGCATATTGTACCACCCCGTTTATCCAAAGGTTTTGGTGCAGGCAGTAGACCTTGTTAGCACTGCAAGCCTTGACCCTAGAGCATGGGGCAGGTGCAGTCTAGCTACAGCCAGCGCTGCAAACCCCACAGCCCAGAGCTCAGACTCATCTATATGAGGCTGTACTTGCAGTTTCTGACATACCCAAACTTCAGAAAGCCTTAGACAAGGTCCCTCACCAAAGGCTCTTAAACAAAGTAAGCAGTCATGGGATAAGAGGGCAGGGTCCTCTCATGGATCAGTAACTGGTTAAAAGATAGGAAACAAAGGGAAGGGACGAATGGTCAGTTTTCAGAATGGAGAGAGATAAATAGTGGTGTCCCACAGGGATCTGTACTGGTACCAGTGCTGTTCAACATATTCATAAATTATCTGGAAAAAGGGATAAACAGTGAGGTGGCAAAATTTGCAGATGATATAAAATTATTCAAGATCGTTAAATCCAAAGCAGACTGTGAAGAGATACAAAGGGATCTCACAAAACTGGGTGACTGGGCAACAAAATGGCAAATGAAAGTCAATGTTGATAAATGCAAAGTAATGAACATTGAAAACATAATCCCAACTATACATACAAAACAATGGGCTCTAAATTAGCTGTTACTACTCAAGAAAGAGAACTCAGAGACATTGTGGATAGTTCTCTGAAAACATCCACTCAATGTGCAGTGGCAGTCAAAAAAAGCAAACAGAATGTTGGGAATTATTAAGAAACGGATAGGTAATAAGACAGAAAATATCATATTGCCTCTCTATAAATCCACGGTATGCCCATGTCTTGAATACTGTGTGCAGATCTGGTCACCCCATCTCAAAAAATATATATTGGAATTGGAAAAGGACAGAAAAGGGCAACAAAAATGATAAGGGTTATGGAACAGCTTCCATATGAGGAGAGTTTAATAACACTGGGACTTTTCAGCTTGGAAAAGAGACGACTAAGGGGGGAAATGATAGAGGTCTATAAAATCATGGCTGGTGTAGAGGAAGTAAGGAAGTGTTATTTACTCCTTCTCATAACACAAGAACTAGTGTTCACCAAATGAAATTAATAGGCAGCAGGTTTAAAACAAACAAAAGGAAGTATTTCTTCACACAATGCACAGTTAACCTGTGGAACTCTTTGCCGGAGGATGTTATGAAGGCCAAGACTATAACAGGGTTCAAAAAATAACTAGATAAGTTCATGGAGGATAGGTCCATCGATGGCTATTAGTCAGGATGGTCAGGGATGCAAACCATGCTCTGAAGTGTCCCTAGCCTCTATTTGCCAGAAGCTGGGAAGAGGTGACAAAGGATGGATCACTTGATAATGACCTGTTCTGTTCATTCCCTCTGAAGCACCTGGCATTGACCACTGTCGGAAGACAGAATACTGAGCTAGATGGGCCATTGGTCTGACTGTCTCTCTTTGAGATGGTTGCTAAGGCCCAAGATCTTCTCCTGGTCCCTTTGCCAGTTTCACCACAGAAAGGTTTCCATTGTGGGGATATTACTGGGGCTGGAGATTCATCTACTCCCAGTGAATTTATTAGGCATGTAACAAGGCACTCGGCCTTGAGGGTATAAACACAGGGCAGCTCTTACAGTCCTTGGGGCCTTTAATACTGAGAGCTGTAGTTGTAGGGCACATGACTAGGAGCAAACGTGTGACCTACAGGAAGCCAGGTATGAGGCTTCCTGCCTCTTGGGCAGGGACAGCAGACAGAAGAGACCAGAGGTCAGAGAAGCCCAAGTGTGTCTCTCTCCATAGTAGACAGGAAAGGGCTACCGGGAGGAGGGGGGAAGAAGGAAGGATGTGTCCCTCCCAACAGCAGAAGGTAGGAAAGGTCTCCATTACAGAGAATTTTGTATTATGAACATTTTTGCATCTTCTATGTATTAATAAAAATGCCCTGAGGAAAGGGAAAAAAGCTAAACTCTAATATTTGGGCTTTATTTGGAGTGCCACAGCTAGTGACTTGGCCCACTGGTTAACATGTCCCCCCTGCCTACAGCTCCTGGGGTGGGAATTGCCCAGCACTGTTTCCCCTGAGAGCAACAGAAGTGACGACTTAGGATTGATTATAATAAAGCAGCGGCGAAGAGGTTGCTCTTGATTGGCAGGGCCCGCTTTTGAAGAAATTCCAGGCCCACCCTCTCCTAGGCAGCTTTCTTTTCTGATTCCAGTCCTGGTGCTAACACTCTGCCCCCTTGGACAGGATGGAAATGGTGCAGTTTCTGTTCTTCTCCTGGCCTTTGCTGAGGTTGGGATTTGGAGCTGGGAATGCCCAGGACTTTGATCCTGCTTGTGAGTAGCCCTGGGGAGGAAGTGGTTGTCAGATCACCCACCCCACCCCACCCCCCGCCAGTGACACTCCCATTTTTCCAAAGAGGTTTCTGGAGTGTGTTCATTGCTAGGGGGAATTGACACCTTCGGGATGTCACAATTTCTGCTCTCCTGAGTAATCAGACACTCTCAATGCAGGCAGATCCCATGATGTGGACCTTAACTTGAAATCACTCTTTGAGTGATTTAGCATGCTCCCCACCTTGGGAGGAAGGGCACGCAGTTTCTAGTGCACTGCAGAAGGGCAGGGAGCATCGCCTGGCAGATACTAGGTGGACTCACATCCCTTTAGGTTAAGGATGCATGCTCCTCTTTCTAGGGACCCTGCTCCCAAGAAAGACATGGGCAAAGAAAAAACAAACCATCGGGGTCCCTGGAAAGGGGAGAGTAAGAGGCAGGGAAGATGAGAGGAGCCATACAAACCTCTTCACCACCAGTGCTGAGCAGGACCACATTACCCACGTTATCACCTGTCACCACGGTCCGGCAGCTTGCAGACACATCAACACTGCAGTACCAGAAACTAGAGGAAAAGATACATAGATCAGCACCAATTCCTGCGGACAGGTATTGGGAGGGGAACCCTGAGTACAGCCTGTCCCTGCCTCTCTACAGAGAGGAACGGCAACAGACTCAGAACTGGGTCTCCCATGTGGTTGAGTGGGACTTCAGTCATCAGTCCAGGGGCAGAGTCCACCAAGGTAGCTTTGGGTTGGTGACTGATGTGACATCACTTCCAAGTTATTTGCCAAGTAAGCTTTAGATAGCGGGAACATGCTGGGGCAGTAGGACGTAGATGAGGCTGAATGGCCACCTGCCACCTGTATACAGAGACAGCTTGGGAAAGATCAGGACCACACCTGAGACATTTACACAATGTGCAGAAATGGACTTAAAATGAGCCTTCCCCACACAGGGGTGAAGAAGCTGCAGGGAGTTGCTACAGACTCTAGATTGGAAAATTTCAGGTCTAAAGCTCCCCCAGTACACCACTCCAAGAACTAAATCAAACCCAGGCTTTTGGTGGCATAGTGCCCCAACCCAGACTATACTGAGTGGGGAAAAGGGAGAATTCTCTGACATCCAGGAACTTCTTTGCAAAGCTTTGCCCTGCAGGGGATGTTCACACTAAAATTCAAAGCCCTGGAGTCAGGGTGGCAAGCCTGAAGACCCAACCCCCACCTCCGAAGGGGTAGCAGAGTTATCACAATAGGATTACATGTTTCTGCATAAATGTTATTTGGTTTAACCTAAGCTGCCCTATAAGCTTAGCCCAGCTCATGGCCAACAGGAGAACACTGGACTGACTGTCTAGCACCTTGCTTTTCTCACCTGCGCTCTTTTAAAGGAACAGTACACTCCCAGTGCTGCTGCTGTCCAAAAGATGCCAAAAACTATATTACCCATCATGCACTGGAACAGCAGGAGTCTAATTGTCCTGAGCTTGCCAAACCCTTGGAGCAGGACCACATGCCTGCCCCGTCACACAACTCTGAGCTCACTGACAGCACCAGCAAATAGAATCTGTCCTAGTCCTAGCAAAGGAAGGTGACATCAAAGAGAAGAAGAGGAACTACAGTATAAATAGCACAGAGCAGAGGCACAACCCTGCCTGCCCCTCCTCACCAAACATCATGGTACTCATGGCCACAGCCTGGCGTGCGGGAGATCACCTGCGCCGCTTTGCCTTCCAGATGCTGCAGACTAAGGGTGCCATCCCCTGATGCCACATAAAGCTTCACTGCCTCAAATGGGCTGAACTTCATGCCTCCAAGAGAGTCTCCTGGCCCTTTCTGGAACACACAGACAAAGGGAAGGGGCACCAATGTTACTGGGGAAGGGAGGGACATGGCAGAATGCCATGGAAGTGAACCCCTCACTCCATAGCTGAGATACACCAAGTTCATGGAGTCTGTTTCCCAACAAGAGTGGCACTAAAGAGCCACATTTTATCAAGTCTGTTACTAAACTGAGGCTATGTCTACACTACCGCGGTAAGTCAACCTAAATTACGCTACTCCAGCTATGTGAATAACGTAGCTGGAGTTGACGTAGCTTAGATCGACTTACTGCGGCGTCTACGCCATGCTGGGTCGACGGGAGACGCTCTCCTATGGGCTTACCTTACTTCTCGTTTCCAAATGCATACTGGAGTCGACCGGAGAACACTCTACTGTCGATTTAGCAGGTCTTCACTAGACCCGCTAAATTGACCCCCAGTGCATTGATTGCAGCAGCATCAATGCCCTGACAGCGTAGACATAGCCAGAGAGTACAAACGTTTTGGGCTTGCAGGGTCTGCCATCTGTCTTCCCAAACAAAGCAAAGTCCCCTCCAGCAGCACAGTTTTCTCTAGCTCAGACTACAGGATGTGGCTGTGGTAATCACAGCTTGAACCATCGCCAGGCCCGGAAGGGCAAGAACACAAGCAACATTCCTTGCAGAAACATACAAAACCCCAAACACAACCTGCACCACATTCTTCCTGTAGGATCTTCTTCCACAGAGTCCCTACAGCGGCTTCCAGTGGGTCATGTTTGGTCTTTCCCAAGGTGCCAGCAGGCAGGAAGAGAGCTGTGCAGGGAGAAATCCCCACTGCTGATTGCATGGCAAAGGAGGCAGAGGAATCCTATCCCAGGAACCGTCCCCAGCCTGTCTCTACTGAGCCAACAGGTGGAATCCTCATACACCAACAGAGAGAGAAAAGAGATGGGGCCAGCCAGGGAGACACAAAACCCTCTGACAGGCAGTGCATTTCACCTGCTTCTCACAAAGTCACTTTGTACGAAGGCCTCATCCTCAATACTGAGTTTCAAGAAGCCCCTGAAAAAAACAAGACCCCTGACCTACCTAAAACCAATGGAAACTTGATAGGCCTCCCCTTCAGACCTAGTTGTCTTCATCTTGATCAGCAGCAAATATTACAGGAGGAAGTGAGACTCTGCCACCCCAAGGACAGAGCATGTCTTTTCCTCCAGGCCCCTACTGATCCAGGGAGTCACCTGAACACTAAACCTGGATCTCCAGCATGGCAGCACCGAACTATCCCAATGGACCTCTCCAGTTTGGTTTTGCCCTCTTCCCCAGGAAGGACTGCAGCTGGAGTAGACACTTTGGAAACTAGCTGGGAAACATGCTACTGGCAGGAGGCAGGCAGGGAAAGAAAACAAAGAGGGCAAAGTGGAACTGGCATGCTGATGCTACAGGCTCATTCCTAGGACTATCCTCTGACTTTCTAAGCCAACAGGGCTTGTAGGAATACTGCAGGAAGTCCTCAGGCTCTATGGAGACCCTGTGGCCAGTGGGAGCAGCACTGCTAACAGCTCAGAGGTTGGAAGGTCACCATGAGACACAGCCATGTAAAGGCACAAAATTGAGGAATTCTATTGGTGCCCTCCAAAAACAACAGGAAGGAGTAAGAGTGGAAGAAGAATCCCTCCTTTAGGGGCAACCAAAAGGTCAGTATTCTCTCCCCTCCTCCTACACCCTGAATAGGAAAAACAAGAGAGACAGGCTTTCAACAGACAAAGATTCTGGAATGGAGAGGAGGTGGATGTGGAGAGGAGCAGAGAGGCCAGCTCTCATGTTTCAGAAACAAGTAAAGCTCCCCCTCCCTGTGCTGCAACTGCCAGCAGGGGGCAAAAGCCAACAAAACTGCTGTGTTCCTTACTCCCAGTCCTCGGTGCTGGTGAAGACCCGGAGCGTACTGCCAGTAAAATCCTGCAGGGTGGTTGTGCCAGCAACTGACGATGTGTACAGCTGACTGGGATTAAAAGGGTTAAACTTCATTCCTGTGATCGCCCCTCCAGCTCCCATCTACAATGAAGGGGATGAACAAAAAAGAAAAATCACTAAGTGATAGGGAAGGAGGAAAGTCCCTTCTGCAAATTTGTACTCATCACTGTGTCCCCAACATCAACAGTGACACAAGCCTTGGCCTCTCAGGAGACAAAGGCAACCTTCATCTCTACAAGTCATGCCCTGGCTGAGCAGGCAACCTGACCAGGGGAGGAGATTACAATTCCTGCAGTTCCAGGGCAATGTGATCCCTGGCAGTCACAATGCTACACAAAAAAGAGCACAAGGCAACCAGGAATGGGACCTAGGAGCCTTCAGAGGATGATCATCCTCCTTCCGATCTGTATTCATTTGTTAAGATAAAGAGCCACAGATGCTGATGTGAAGACTATGAGCCCACATAGAATTGGGATTGGAATTGGTGCGTGGGGATGGGATGGGCAAGTAAACCGTTCAAAGTCACAGGAAGTGACTCTACGTCACTCCTTGACTTCTTCACCAGAAGGGATTTTCCTTCCTTCCACTCAGAAAGGTGCTTCCTCATCCGACACAGAACAAGAAGGTAAAGAGGGGGAGATTTTCAAGCCTAGAATAAATAAACCCTCTCTGCACACTTCTTATAGATTTCCTTTCTTCTTCATCGTCATCAATCCCTAACCCATCCCCCGATCCCCCCCAAGCATATAACCTGACGAAACTTCACCGTAAATTCTACAAACAAACCTCCATTCTGACCTGCAACCCCCGCACTGCCAGTCTGGGGCCTCACACACAGATCCACCACTGCAGCTCAGTCCTATAAAATCAGGAGAGCGCCTGCTGCTATTCCAGTCCTGGGCCCCTCACAGTTCTGACATTGCACCTCAATAATGAGCTGCCGCACTCAGAACTGTTCCAGTCCTACCCTCCTGCCCATCCCACACACTTAGTGACTTACCCCTTTTATGAAACAGGTTTTATTCAGTACTTCGTAGTCCCACAGGATGATGTCTCCACCTTTGGACCCCACAGCCACAGTGCTGGGGTGAGTTGGATGCCACTCCAGACATGTCACTCTCCTGTCAAAGGGACTTGCTGTTCGGAAGAGGCGGTATGAAGTAAGAGAACGCACAAAGGGAAGCTGGAGACACTGTTACAAAGAAAACGAGAGACTGGGATCTCCACAGAGCTGGAAGTAGGTCTCTGAATCTCTCCAAAAACACTGACAGTCTTTGTATGCACACCCGTCTACACACACTTCCCAGGGAGTTAGCAAAGCCAGGCTGCTCCCCAGGAATATCAGGGAGAAACTCAGACCAGCTTTCTTCACTCTCACAGTGGAGTTTACAGCCAAGTGGGCAGATCTATAGGGTTGTTGTCTGCCCCATCTTGCACCATAAACACAAGTCAATCTGGTAGTGATGGGGTGGTGCAGATTTCTTTCCTGATCTGAATGGCCCTTGGCTGCTATCCTTTTAACAGGGTGAACAGTTAGGGTATTAGGGTTTTCACAACAAGATGCTGCTTCCCTCTCTGGACTCAGCTGGGCAACAGATGGGAGCACAAAGCCGCAGGGAAGACAGGCCTCTCCAAACAAATGTACCCAAGCCACAAATACTCAACCCCCCAGTGACAAAGCAGTGGGAAAAAACACTCTCTAGATCTGTAAGGGGAGCTGAACCAAGCCCTCTGGGCTGGCTAAGAGGGGAGGATAACTGGTATCATCACACTAACATGGCAGCTGGACATGCTTTCCTCACAGGAACAGACTCCACCAACCACAGTTCCTCCTGTTATGTATTTACTGAGCACCCCGAAATGTTATGCTTCATCCAGAGACATAAAGACACTGTCCTTCTTCCAAAGTGCTTACAATCCACATGACACAATAAGACAAAAAGCTTACAGAAATGGGGCTGGGCAGAGAAGCCAAGACAGTGACAAAATCATGTGGTTACTTAGCTAAGGCAAGTGTACAGACTGGGTGAATTTTTAAATCAAAAATATAAAACACATAAATGACCTAGAAAATAAACCTATCCTGGTTGATTTACTCTTTGTGGACATTTCAGGAAAAGTTAATCCTTAAGGAAGGATTAAATGAGTGGATAATTATGCCTTGGAAAACCAGTTCAGGGAAGGTATTACATACCCTGAGGAAACATGGGAAAAGGTGTAGTGATTACTGTGAGAGAAGTTAACAAATGGACATTGAGACTGGCATTATTAGCAGAGTGGAGCAGGTGGGGGCAACATGATATAGGACTACATCACATAAGTAGGTGGAAGCAATATTGTGCCAGGCATCAACTGATAGAACAAGCTTACCTTTAATTCAGGGGAGCAGAGAATTAGTAGAGGGATTCAAAGGGGGGGGACTGATGTGTCACTGATGAAAAAGGAAAATGATCTCAGCAGTTGCATTTTGCATGGACTAAGGGGAGAAATGTGACGGCGAATCAGACTATCAGCACGTTACTGTAAGAATTTTAGTCATTTTAAAGGCATGGAAACCATAAGCCCTGGACGGGAGTGGACCCCTGGCCCTTTTAAGCTCCCTCATGTGTGTTCACGCTTTCGTTGTCATTTTTAAGGGAAACTCTGCTGGGAGCTCAGCTGTCCAGTAGAATGAGAAGTAGACACTCTCACCTGCCTGAGCTGTGCTCGGATAGAGCCACCCAGCATGTTTTGGTAGATGTAGTGGATGATGCTGCACTGCCTCTCCACCTGATGGAAGAGCACTCCTGAGTTTCTGAACATGGAACCACCTTCAGCCCAGCCTGCCAGACAGCAAAACAGGGAAACTTACTGACAGACAAGCCAATGCACATCATGTCCATTCACTACACTGTACTAGGGAGGATAGCTGTATTTGGTGCTGAATCCAGAAGTGATCTCTAGCCACAAGAGAAAGGACCTCAAGCAGTTCCTATGAGTGTAAGGGGAAGTAGCCTCCTGCAAAGCACAATGCATCCCATAACCTGACAAACCATCTGCCTGGTTTCTTCTCAATACGATTCTCCTTGTTAAAGATTCATCCCAGAGCAAAGGAAAGAAGAGGGCTATAGTGATTTTACAGGGAATGGCTCACCTGAGCTTCTAGAGGCTATACACATAACCCTGATATGGCAAGGACACACAGAGCCTGAAAATAAGACCTAAAGAGTGGGAAAAAGAGAGAGAGGAACTCCTGGGATCAACATCTCAACCACAGTGGCAGGGGAGAGATCAGACCTCGGATCAGCAGATAATTGAGTGAAATTTAACAGTTACAACTGAAAATTCCCAAATTGTGAATTCCAAACCACTTCCCCTGCACCTGAATAAGAATATTCCACCCGCTTGTGCTGTCGTTCACACAGCCTGCCTATGGCTCTGTGTGTTTTCTTTTTGATAAAAGACCTGTTGGCACCTCATAGAATAGCCTGAAAACCTTTCAGTTCAGGGAGAATTCTGCTGAGCAACACAGCAGGTTTTCTGTATTTTGCTAGTGCTTCAGGTTTAATCATCCGGGACATCTATGTGAAAAGAGAGTCTGATCAACCCCACGTGTGTGACCGAATCATCCCCACAGCAACGGACTGTAACATCCCAGTGGATCCAGGCGTCAGATGGAGAAGCAGAAGAATCTCTTAAGAAACAAAAATCTTATTTTCATGTAAGGATCCATATTAATACAAAACAGGAGGAGAGAAATAAAGAGAGTATTATATATAACAAAAATATCCTTATTTTATGAAACACTGAAGTCTGGAAATTAAGAAGTTAACACACACACACACACACACTTTCATACATGATTACAGCAGATGCTCACATTTTTACAGATTCTTAACACTCAAAGATTTTCACTGCCTGAAGTGAAGGGAGGCATTTTTCCAGGCTTGGGTCCTGTCAGGAAGTACATCTATAGATATAGATTTATTTTTTAAGAAATTTGATCTTCACACATTTTTGAGTTTGGAAAGAATGAAATCCCATAAAACAGTACTCCCACTGTGAGAAAATTCCAACTTTACTTTTTTAAGCAGAGCAACAGCAAAAGTGGGTTAAGTCTATAACAGGGTTTAAAGACTATAACAGGGTTTAAAAGAGAACTGGATAAATTCATGGAGGTTAAGTCCATTAATGGCTGTTAGCCAGGATGGATAAGGAATGGTGTCCCTAGCCTCTGTTCATCAGAGGGTGGAGATGGATGGCAGGAGAGAGATCACTTGATCATTACCTGTTAGGTTCACTCCCTCTGGGGCAACTGGCATTGGCCACTGTCAGAAGGCAGGATACTGGGCTGGATGCACCTTTGGTCTGACCCAGCATGGCCGTGCTTATGTTCTTAAGTCTGAAGCGTGGCCTAGGTGGAGGCCTTTTTGGGGACACAGTCTTTGCTTAGTTAGAGAGGAACATTTTTTTTAAAGTTCTTATGGATTGAAAAATCACTTCTGGGGATGCTCTGTGGCAGAACCTAATGAAGCTCCATCCACTTCACAACAACACTGAGCTTTCTCCCAGCTGAGCCTGAGCAGAAAGCTCAAGAAGGGACATGGGCTACTGCAAAGACAGCTGTAGCGCTATTTGGTTGCATAGCTTCTCTGCAGCTCAGCAGATGTTAAACTCAACCTCATAGAAATACAAAATACCTACCGATGACTTTAATCAGCTTTGCAGTGTATTGCATGCCTACATAATGCAATTACAGAACTTCAAACTCAAATTTTTACCATGTATGCACCAAACTCGTTTAATTGTTTATATTGTTTAAAAAATGGATTATTCTGTCAACACAATTACTCGTCTTTGGGGACTAGTTGCATGTAGAGTCTCAGATTTTAAAGTTTAGACAATTTTTGAATTATCTATGCAACAAAAATTATTTACCCACTGGGGTTTTCCAAACTGGGTAAAAATTAAAACTCACCTTTTAGATTGGGATACAGAATGGAAAGGCTCAATTTCAAAAACATTTTATGTAAGCTATAAGTGAAAACATGATTGGCCTCATTTTCAAAGGTACTGAATACATACATACAACTCTCACTGAAGCACATTGGAACTGGAGAGGTTTAATAACTCTAAAAATCAGACCTGGAGTTATAATGAAAGTCATGTGGTAACATTAGCTACAGGAGATTTGTTCACTGACCATGAGCTCTAGAATAAGCAGAATTCCTTTAAACAGGATGTTTTGCTTCAATTTTCACTGTTCACATTAGTGCCTGCTCCAACCTTTAGTCATACACCAAACAAACTGTTGCATCCGATGAAGTGAGCTGTAGCTCACGAAAGCTTATGCGCAAATAAATTGGTTAGTCTCTAAGGTGCCACAAGTTCTCCTTTTCTTTTTACAAATACAGACTAACACAGCTGTTACTCTGAAACCAAACAAACTGGGGCTTATGAAATACAGTAAAGAAGCCATCTTCAAGGGTGCCACCATTCAGATATTATGAAATCCCATAAGCATATTATAGGATTCAAAGTGATACCCATGGACATGAAGAGACACAGAGTCCTTATTCTAATTGTAAGCCTGCACAACTTCCTTGATACTGGAAAGACTAAGGGTATGTCTACATTAAAAACTTATGTTGACCTATATTAGGTCAACTTGCAGCCCCTGCAGTAATTATGTGGTGGTGCATGTCCACACTACACTCCTTGGGTCGGTGGTGCACATCCTCACCAGGAGCACTTCCACCAACCTAAGAGGGGCAGTGTGTGGACTAAAAGCCCAGTCTCCCAGCTCCACTGGTAGCTCCCTGCCAGAAGCCCAGCTGCATCACAGGCTCCTGGGCTCCTGGCGGGCTGCCCCCCTCCCCTGCTCAGCTCCACATTCACCACTGGGAGTAAGCTGCCCGGGGCTTCTCATCCCTGGGGAACAGGGTTCAGCTGCCCCGGCTTCTCAGGCTGCCCCTGCCTGCTTCCTGCTGGGATCCAGGCAGCCCTGGCAGTTTTAAATTCACAAGACAGCCATTCCTAGATGGGAGCGGGGCAGGGGGGAAGAAGTAGTGAGGTCTAGCTGCCCGCGACTCCCAGCCAGGAGCAGGATCCATTCTCACCCTGGCTCCCAGCCAGAAGCTCTCCATGGGGGCAGGAGGCAGCTGGGCCAGGAGCCATGAAATTGACAAGAGAGCTAATGGCGGATGTAAGTAACACACGATATACACAGACACTGCTTCACCCTAACTACACCGACATAAGCACTAGGCCTCTCATGGAGGTGGAGTTACGATGTCAGTGTGGCAGGGCACTTATATTGGCGGGACAAGGCTGTAGTGTGTACACTGATATAATCAGGTCTACATAAGCTGCCTTATAAGTTATATTGACCTAACTGTGTAACATAGGCCAAGCCTAATATTCACCCATCTCCCCCATTAAAGGGAAAAAGTGAAACATCTTTTACCCAAAAGTTACATATTGGACGAAAAAATACACAAAGGAGAAACAACTAGTGAGAACACTAATCCAGTCTGGTGCAATTAACTGATTATAGCCAGAAAGGAACTAGCCCTAGTCTGTCTGAGTATGAACACAACCTTACAGAAGATCAGCAGAAAGATTTACCATCTACCTAGAGCATCCCTCTAGCTCCCACTTCTGTGCAGCATCTTGCTTGTGGACACAGCATGATCTCCAGATGGAAATGTTGGTTTCGACTTCATGATGTGCAATACTAACCTTCTGATTATGGAAAAGCATGAAGAATTATATAATGTCACGTTACCAATATTGGTCTGTCCTACTTCAGAAATGCGGCAGCAGAAGTTCAGAAATTCCACAAAGCTTAATCACTCCTCAATGAGAAGTGATGTACACTCTGCTGAGCCCAGTTTTAGGAGAGATAAGCAATGACTTTCATAAAAATGCTGCATATGCACACGCACACACACACACACTCAGTACAGCTTCCAAACAGATAGCGGAGAATAATGCCCCCACATATCTCCACCCCTCAAGAAACATAATCCAATCCAAAAAGTCCTGTTTGAACAGGCTGTTGGTTCCTTGACATCTCCCCACCCCTGATATCTGAAAGTTTGGTTTACGCCCTTCATGCTATAAAGGCCTGGCTGGCAGAAAGGGTGAGAATCTGAGGGAACATTACCGATTTTCCCTGAGGGCTTGGCTGCTTTTCTCAGAAACAATCTTTTTGCTTGCGGCTCAGTCTCCAGTTCTCCATGGTCTCGTTTCCTCTTCCCAGTTGATTTTGCATCTTCCTCTGGCTGATGCTCATGCACCCTCACATGCTTCTTGTCCTTTGACTGGTTCTCAGGGGTCATTCTGTCTGCCCCACTAAAAAAAACAAAGTAAGGATAATAAGATTTGTCATTGGTTCTGGCTTTAAGACAGAAAGTTGGAGCACAACATGCCCTGACAGACTAAAAGTAGGACATACCTGTGCCACCCTTCATCTCTGTACTACTGGCTTTTTGCTTGCATTGTTGTGGGGATGGGAATGGGGGTCAATAAACTGCTCTTTACACGTTCATGAAAAAGACTGGCTTCTAAAGCAATGGGGTATCTTCTCTGTTTCTACAGAATTCTCAATACTCAATAGACAGTAGCATATTTGAAATCTACTGAGCTGCACAAAATGCCACAACTGTCTTTACAGCACCCACATTGCTACATGACCTCCCTGGTCAGGCTCAGTGCTTTTTGAAGAGGACAAGGCTTCATTAGGCTCTGCCACCAAGCATGGTCAAAAATTATTTTTCAGTCAAATCAAATTGACATGCATGAATCAAGCTCCTAGATACTATGGTGATGAGCAAACTGAAAATGCTGGACACACCCTGCTTTTCTATGACACGCACATACAGATTTTGGGAGACAACACAATTTTAGCCCTCTATTTTAATGCTCTATACTAAGAAATTAAACTCTTTTCCCCCACCCCCACCCCCAATCCAAAGTGAGAAGCCTTTTACTCAGTTTTCCTCTTTTGATCTAGGACAGAGGTGGGCAAGCTATGGCCCACGGGATGGTCCTGCCCGGCCCCTGAGCTCCCAGCCGGGGAGCCTAGTCCCCAGCCCCTCCCCTGCTGTCCCTCCTCCCCCGCAGCCTCAGCACGCCACACCGCCAGTGCTCTGGCCCACCACTTCTGCCGGGCAGGGCGGCGGCGTGGCTGCGAGCTCCTGCCGCTCTGAGCAGCGTGGTAAAGGGGGGGAGGGGTAAGGGGCAGGGGATCCCGGGGGCAGTCAGGGGACAGGGGATGGTTGGATGGGGCGGAGGTTCTGGGGTGGGGGGGCGGTCAGGGGATGGGGAGCAGGGGGGTTGGATGCGGGGAGTCCTGGGGGCCGGTTAGGGGCAGGGTGTGGACAGGGGTCGGGGCAGTCAGGGGACAGTGAGCAGGGGAGGTTGGATGGGGGTGAGGTCCCAGGGGGCAATTGGGGGCAGAGGTCCCAGGAGGGGGCGGTCAAGGAACAAGGAGCGGGGAGGTTGGATGGGTCAGTGGTTCTGAGGGGAGCAGTCGGGGGCTGGAAGTGGGAGGGGACATATAGGGGCAGGGTCCAGGCTGTTTGGGGAGGCACGGCCTTCCCTACCCAGCCGTCCATAAAGTTTCACAACCAGGATGTGGCCCTCGGGCCAAAAAGTTTGCCAACTCCTGATCTGGGAGGTTCCAAAATAGAAAATTTCAATGGCAGATCCCAAGGGGCCTCTATGAAAAATATAGTACAAGTTGATCCTTTGACAGTAGCATATTTTATTTTTAGTTTGTGAATAAATGTCACTGATGTCTGACTATAGCTAAATATAGTTAGGCAGGCACTGTGCAAGCTTCCCCAAATAGTAGCCCAATGCTGACTTTCCAGCACTCTGCTATTCCCATCTGGAAGCCCACACAGCCCTGCCAGTCCCCTGCAGACTCTCACTATTCTAGTCCTGAACACCACCACCACCCAGGTCTGCTGATGCCCCTCAGTTCTGACCCACAGCACACCCTGTTATTCTAGCCCTGAAGTCTACATCCAGGAATTGGATTAGTTAGCACCGATTCCATTCTGTATAATAGCCTGAATGTTTCCAGAACTGTCCCACGCACATTGTTGCCATTGGTGTCATATGACCTGGTTAAGAAAAGAGCAGAAGTGTGAATCAGGCACTGTGAATGTCACAGGCACCATCCAACCCCAGCAGGAAGAGTACATCTGAAGCAGTGTGTGTGTGAGGAGCACCAGTGACTTTGGATTGTCACAAGCCCTGGGCTGGCAGCATGGCGTGAATGGTCTTCCAAGACTCACTGGCTGATACAGGAGGGCCTGGTTGCAAGCGTAAAAAGTGTTAGCCAGAGCCCATCTCCTGCAGTGCCCCCAGCACCCCTCCCTGGAGAGGGGAACGTTTCAAAAGTTGAAGGGAACACGGTAGTGGCAATGTTAGCAAGAGGGTTCATCAGTTGCATCCTGGGAAATGTCTATGTGCTCTCCGCACACACCAGAGAGAGAGGGGAGTCTACTGGTTTGGGGGGGGGGGGCGGGGAAAGAAGGGGGACAGGAGCCAGGTCTTGTGGGTTCTATTCCTGACTCCCCCAACGCCTCACGGTATGACCTGGGACGAGCCCTTCCCCTCTCGGAGCCTCAGTTTCCCCATCAGTCTCATGGCGACAACCACTCGGCGAGGCTCAGTCAGGACAGGGCACCGCACGGGGCGCGAGCAGGAGGCTGAAGGCAGCTCAGGAGTCCGGGGCCTGACCCTGTCCCGCTCCGGAGCCCGCTGGCTGTGAGGCCGGTCTCCCGCGAGAGAGGGCTCACGGCCCGCACGCTGGGACCAGGGGAGGGCCGGCGCGGGGCCGTTCACGCGTTGTTCTCTCCGGGCCGGGGAATGGAAGAGGGCTCGGGGGCCGGGAGGGGCTTCGGGGGATCCCGCGCTCGGCGCCGTGGGGGCGCTCGCCTCACCTGGTCCTCGCCGCGGCCTCCGCTGCCCGGCCTGGCCCAGCCCCGCGACAGCCCGGCGCGCAGAGCGGGGGCGGGGCGGGCCCTCCTCGGCTGTTTTATAACCCGGCGGCGGGGGCGCTCAGGGTCTGGATTGGGAAGCGCCCGGGCTATTGCCCCCAGCCCCGCGTTTCCTCCTCCGGGCGCTCCCGGACGAGACGAGACACCCGGAAAGGGGGGTGACCCCTAGGCCGCTCCGCGGAGGGGAGCGAGGGCCCAGCTGGATACTCCTCCTACCTCAGTTCTTGTGGCCTTGGAGCCTCCCCAGAGCCGCTGGGGCCTGGCCACAGGGCTCGCTCCCCACCCCAGCCTCAAGGACTGGAGAGGGTTAGGGCCGTGGTATTGGGTGGTGAACTCTCAGCGCCCTTCAGACACATGCCTGAGGCTACATCAGCCACTGCCCAGTTGGGCTGTGTCCTTTCCTGCTACAGCCTGCTGGGCCCCCTTACACACAATCGGCCCAGCAAACCTTACTAGAAACTAGGCCTCAACACTCCTCCTCCACCCCCAAATCTTCAGCTTCCCAGACAGGAACCCTGGTCTAATGTGGGAAGCAACAAAATAAGTGAACTTGGAACAGTTATTTTGGCTTTTGGACCAGAAAGCATTTGTGCAATTATTGATTCAACAATGCAAACTCCAAATGCTATTTTTTCTCAAGCACCTGCAGTTACCGTCCTCTCTCCCCAGCAGGCTGGGCCGGGCAAACACACAGCACCCAATGTTTGTCTGACTTTTATCAACAGTTTCAGAGTAACAGAGAAATGTAAAGGACAATTACCAAGTTCTGCAGAGCCTTGCACGATGTTGGAGTCGAGAAATCACACAAAAAACAAAAAATGGGAATCATAATTCCAGGATATCACTGGCAAACATCCCCCAAATCCCACAACCTCCCTGCTGTGGAAAGAATTCCAGTGGAAAGTAACATTTTGTCGGCACCTTAGTGATCACCAACAAAATTAACACAAACAGCTTTCAGAGTAACAGCCGTGTTAGTCTGTATTCGCAAAAAGAAAAGGAGTACTTGTGGCACCTTAGAGACTAACCAATTTATTTGAGCATGAGCTTTCGTGAGCTACAGCTCACTTCATCAGATGCATACCGTGGAAACTGCAGCAGACTTTATATATACACAGAGAATATGAAACAATACCTCCTCCCACCCCACTGTCCTGCTGGTAATAGCTTATCTAAAGTGATCAACAGGTGGGCCATTTCCAGCACAAATCCAGGTTTTCTCACCCTCCACCCCCCACACAAATTCACTCTCCTGCTGGTGCTAGCCCATCCAAAGTGACTCACTTTGGATGGGCTAGCACCAGCAGGAGAGTGAATTTGTGGCTTGCTGGTGCTAGCCCATCCAAAGTGAGTCACTTTGGATGGGCTAGCACCAGCAGGAGAGTGAATTTGTGTGGCCTGCTGGTGCTAGCCCATCCAAAGTGACTCACTTTGGATGGGCTAGCACCAGCAGGAGAGTGAATTTGTGTGGGGGGGTGGAGGGTGAGAAAACCTGGATTTGTGCTGGAAATGGCCCACCTGTTGATCACTTTAGATAAGCTATTACCAGCAGGACAGTGGGGTGGGAGGAGGTATTGTTTCATATTCTCTGTGTATATATAAAGTCTGCTGCAGTTTCCACGGTATGCATCTGATGAAGTGAGCTGTAGCTCACGAAAGCTCATGCTCAAATAAATTGGTTAGTCTCTAAGGTGCCACAAGTACTCCTTTTCTTTTAACACAAACAGCCTCACTCTCTTCTGGAGTGGCTGTGAGTAGGCCTTTTACTACACACATGTTTTTTGGACCTGCCTTGAGATCGGAACAATCTGGTCACACACAAAAGGTTACAGAAAGACTTAGGTTGTTGTCAAATATTTAATCACATTGTTATGAATAGGCCCCATAAACTTAATCTCTTTTATCTATTTTATGCATTTCTAGAGCACCAAACAGGTACATTGGAGCTGCATGTTGAGGTCCATAGTGGATTTTATAGCCATCAGGAATACTAGTTTGAAATGTTAACATTCACATGGTATGGTTTGTCAGAGAAAACCATGCTTTTACAATGTGGCTAAAGAAAATAAAAGATATAGTACAAATCACAGTTCAGATCTAAATCACAAAATCAGAGATCACCTGACCTTAGTTAATATTCCATTTAACAACATTCAAGAAATTAGGCTAAAACAACCCCGAGTTAAAATTACATTCCATTGCACATGGTGGGATATCATCCTGTTATTTATTCATAGATTGATACCCTTACAGAAAGGCTATACAGGCAATCCTCAACTTTACGATGTTTGACTTACGACGTTTCTGAATTGATACCCTGATTCAACTTACAACAATTGGTTTTGACTTTACAACACTCAGTCCAGCAATGGAGTGGATTGCAGTTCTGAGTGACGACATTTCAATTTACGATGCAATTTTCGGGAACCAATTGTGTCTTAAGTCCGAGGACTGCCTGTACTCCAATCATCCACACAGTTAGCTACAAGCACAACTCCTACAACGTTTGTTTGTGCATCTCTCGATAAATAAAAATGCTTCAGTGAACACCTTTGTATAGTCTTCCATGTAACCACGCTACTTTAAAAATACACACAAACCATGCTTGTCTACTGGAATATAACAATGTTGCACCAACTGCTAACATACCAAAATTGTGTATAAACAATGACATATCATAAGAAACAAGTAACTATCTCTGTAAAAACATATATATCAACTCTGGCACCTCATGATAAATTGTCTTATTACATGTCTCTGCAAAATACCTACCACACATTTGGGCACTGTATGTGTATGCATGTATGTATGTACAAATAAATAATTCAAACTAGCACCTGCCTCTGCAAGCCATCTGCCCACAGAACACACATTGATGTCTTGAAAGTGTCCAGTATTATACCTCTAGGAAAGGAAACTACAGGAAAATTATCCTCCTGCTCATGTCAGGCAAGAAGAGTGTAGTCAACATAGATTATATAGATTCAGAGAGATC